GGAAGTAGATACTGCTTTGCTTGTTAGCTTACAGTCACACTCACAACTTATAATTCGTATTTTTCAGTTTGTCTTTTCAGCGGAAACAGTATTTTCTTTCGTAACAAATCAGAGAACAATACTTTCAGCTTATTTTTTCAGCAAAGCGAACAGACCTCACACAGACAGCTGGCGCTCGACATTTCCCCGTGACCGTGAGGCTGGACAGTGGACCTGCACGGGCACGGCACTGCACATGAGGTGTATCAGGCGGCAGGGCCATCGTCTGCTCGGTAGTCATCAGTGGTAGAGCAGAGAAACAGACATGAGAGCCAAACAAAATCTTGGGCCAAGTACACGACCACATCGTCATCAAACACAAAAGTTACACCACCATCGTGTACGTCTGTAGTGCCGTTGACGCAAGAAACCACATTACCAGCCATCAATTTTACTTGAATAAACGGCAACGCCGAAACCTTAGTTCAGCAGAAACACACAACTGATCCTAAAAATTTAAATACGGGTGGGAAATCGTCCCAAAAAAATTAAAATTTTGCCTCATATTGTTCCTCCATCATCACCTCACTCGATCCTCACCCCAAATGATAGAGGGACACTCACATTGCGCAAACATGTCAGTGCCCGTTTTGATCAAAAGACACCAAACACTGTCCAAAGTCCAAACACTGTCACCGGCAGATTCAAATCAGAGACGCAGATTACCATCAAAATGACTAACCAGAAGTTCCCAGGCCCTCGAGATGGCATGGGAGGTGCGCCAGTTCCTGAATCTGCGCAGTTCCTTATTTATCTTTCACTTTCACCATGTTCGGAGGTACGCCAGTCCCTGAATCTGCGCAGTTCCGTCAAGCGGCGGAGGATCACATTGCCATAACCTTCCCAGGGACGGGTCCAGAGGATGCCCAGCGGCGTCGTTGGAGACCGCAACGGTGGCAAGGGGCGGCAATGCACCAGCATCTGCGTGAGAAGTAGTCTGCTGGATGACGGCTGAACTTGAGCCCCACGAGCCGTCTGACAGAAGAGAGAGAGCACGCCCAGGTTCTGGGGCTCTGTTATTCAAGTTGGAAGTGGCTGCGGAAGCTTCCACACCTGAAATTGTTAGAGACGAAAAATGTGCATCAGTAGCGTAGAATTGTAATACTAAGCTTGCTCGTGTTAACTCTGAACTTGCAAGATAGGATATGTGTTCGTTGTCTTTCTCCAGATGATAACTCAGAGGAAGTAAATGTAAAGGAATATAAGCTACTGCAAATGGATGAACTAATTTCTGGATTTTCCCAGCCCAGAACAACACGCTTAGAAAGTACCATGGTGATAGAACATGTGTAACGTTAATGGTGTATGCAAATTGGAGCCAGAAAGAACAAAGGTGCTGGCTCAGTATCGTGAAAGGTGAAACTGCGAAGAATTATAATGATCGTGTAGATAACCTGTTGTGATGTCACCTAAAAAAGCAGTGCTTACTGAGAATAATCATTCAAATAATACGAGAGACCATCTGGGCAGTTTCTTAGGAATTGTAAAAGCTAATCTCAGTCAGATACTTCATTAATATGGTCAACTTTTAGTGCTGACAGAGTTTACTGTTTAACCTTCTCAGGTTCAGTAATAGATCTGTAGATTAGCAATGTACCTTGGTTAAGGACCTTCGTGTTGGTTCCCTTGAATGGCATGAACCCATCGAAATTATGATGATGTCCAGTGTGAGCCACAACACTAGTTGATATCTGGGGGCTTGAGAAATGCAGCTCATCAAGGCCTACTGTTTTTGTTGGCTGCACTGACAGATGTTTCATTTCCATAAATTTGAAGCCTCCCAAGTTATCCCATGAAGGAACTGCACTGCTTCTCACTTGGCCATAAAGAGGTTGACTAAAGAAAAGATTTGTCCTCTGGCTTGTATCTGCAAATGCAAATAATACCAGCATTAAGACTAAAGTGTTTCCATAACAACAACAACAACAACAAAGCCTTTTAGTCCGAAGGAAAATTGGGGGCAGGATAACTAAAAATGTTTCTACACAACTAAAGATAATAATACATCTAGAGAGAAAACAGGAACATGCTAAGGATAATCCCGCTTGCGAAAAAAAAAACATGTTAAGGATAATCCCACTAAAAGAGAAGTTATACAGTCATGGTATGTGGTTACTACAAGTGTCATGAAGTTGGATAAGTCCTTGACTAATACGGTGAATATGAATTTGCAAAGATCTGAAGTCTGAACCGCTGTTTATTTTTACTACTTGAAACATGTATCATCATTTTATTCAGAAGCATAAATTGACTAAAAAATTTGCATTCAATCATCAATCTGAAAATACGGGCAGAACCACTCAACAAGTTAATAGCAGATTAGCCATTTGATACCTATATAAAGTGCTCTCTTTTTTGCAGGAAATATAAAGTGCTCTTTTAACATATAAGATTCAGAAGCGGGCCACGCAGAAAAGTAAAGAGGTACTGAATCAGTAGCATGTAGCTCATTAGCTTAGAAGGTGTTTTTGAGATCTCAGTACTACCATAAAACATTGATGAGAGCCGTGATGAATTGAATGAAATTGTATCTGCCTGTGGTTTCCTCCGTCGTGCATTATGATGAGTAAGACGCCTACGACAGCTTCGTTTGTTCTGATCAAACTCCGCTAAACCATGAAACCTACAAACAGCGAAGGATTAAAAAAAGAGGGAAATGAAGCTTCATTATGTCAATAACAAATCAAAATGTAAATGTTAGTTATAAGCTTGTCTGCAATTTCCCTTTCTCAAGATGCTGTATCAATAGTTCAACACTCCACTTAGGCACTCATACACCATTACAACTAATGCCAGAAACAAAAAGGAAACACCAATTTTTCTTCACTATTCGTTTCATGCTAGCATTCCTGTGCACCTCAATCAGTAAAGGATAAATAAACATAAATATCATGAGTCTGAGCCAAGCAAAATAATTGAGCATCATGTAGACTAGCACTGGTCCACTTCGTTCTACAACTAAAGTGGGTGGTGGTATTGCTTTCAGCTGGTCACATTTTCAAAGATCCCTCCCTCATTAAAGATGCCAAAAACTGTAACTTGGCAAATACAAATAGGAATATTGTAGAATGAAAACAGAACACAGATTAAATGTAAGGAAATCTCACCGGCTACACTGTTGGCAAAACCGTCGCTCTAGACCAGCAACAACCACCTTGGGAGCTTTAGAATGGACTACACAGACTTTGTGCTTGCGGTTGTAATCTTTAGCAGAAGACAGGTCAACTTTGCAACCTTCAACCTGACAGTACCAGTTCTTTGCATTCTGCTGAGACACCGTAGTCTTCTTGACCACGGTGGCTGCAGAAGTAATATCTGAAGGTGCAGAAACCTTGGCATCCTGTCCTCCGCAGACATTTTCGAAGTAAGCCCTCTTTCCAAGCTTCAGACTAATTAATGGCTCTCCTTGGCTGAAAGCTATCATTGACGATGGAGAATTCCCCGAGTCATCGACTCTACCATTGGTGCCCGTGTTCTTAACATGCCTCTCAACAGCGGCAAAATTGAACTCTAAGCTGTTCCCTACTCCAGAGGGTGAATCAATGGATGCTGAAATAGAGCTCTTGGATGAACCATGCCCTAGCTCTGAGCTAGAAGTAAGAGTACCGCCAGATGAATTGGCAGATCCATGCCTTGTAACTGCATTCGAGACAGATGGTACTAAAGGTTCCCAATCCCACACCATGGAGTTCTTCTGATTCCAGTTCATCCCAAAAGAACCCATGCCAGAACTGAAGATCTCAATCCTTCCAAGAAGAAGAATTAGAAAATCTCAACTGCCCCCCCAACCTGTGTATGTGAAAGCTGGCAGCACTGCAGGGAAGAATAGAAAGAATAAATGTCAGAGACAAAGTGCGGGACTGAAACAGATACAGATAGAGTAAACTCAACTGCTTACAAAACTTATAATTCCCAAAAGATGTAACGAGTATAAAAAGACTCTGGCAATGAATCAGAGACCTCAAATCCCTCCTCTGACGAAACAGAAATAACACAACCAAATCCTGCGCCTATTCCTGAACCTCTTGTTGCCAATCAGCAACACCGCACAAGCCTTGAAGTCAGACTAACTCAGCGAGATGAACCAGGAACCGTGGCATGCCAATCGTCTGCCAGCTAAAGGAGCTGCGGCGCCATTATCGTCGACTCGACTGAGCTCTCACCTGGCCTTTGAGGTCTCTATCATGCATGCCTCCCATATCCTCAGCGGCTCAGCCCCATCTAGGTTGGCCCTATCCTATATCCCTATCCACCATCACAACCACCCACGTTTAAACCTTCTCTAATCTTTCGCAGCAATTACCTCAGCACTGCATTATTTGCACTGCCTTACTGTTCCCACCAACACAAGAACCAATAGGCATCGAAGCCAGTTGCTTTTTGGGAGGCAAAGAGGATGCAAACCATAAGAAAAGGAAAATTTTTTATATAATATACAGAAAAAGGGGAGGGAAATGCTGGATGTGGAATCAAGCATCTAACCCCCTTTACTCGAAAGAATCTTTATTCGATTAAAACTCTACCCTATCAGGCAAAACCAAGAACCATGAGGACCAAGAAAGCAAAAGCCAGAAGACAAAGAGGGCATGACTCACAAAGATCCAACAGACACGCACGAGATGGCAACCTTCCTCCTACCTCTCTGTCCATGAACCCCACCTGACGCAGGAAGAGGGTGAGGCCCAGTGGATGGCTGCCTCAGCATACAGTACAGGCTACAGCAGCCAGCATGCGCATCAGCACATGCCTCAACTACTCCACTTCTCAAAAAAAAAAAAAAAAGGGAAGAACTGGACAGTGAACAACCCCAAGATGGCCGATTCCCTTTTCCCAATCGGAGCAAGCATCGAGTGAACGGGCATGGGGAAAGATCTATAAAAAGAAGGAAAGATATATTCTAATTTACTACAAAGAAAGCATACTTAACCTGATTGCAGGGGGGGTGCTGGTGCTATGAAGCCATGGGGTTGCTTGCTTTTCTACTTCTACCAAGGCTCTCCAGATTCCACAGTGCCACTGCCAAGTGCCAACAGCTGGTCGCTCCAGCTCCACCAAATGAAGTTTGCCCTAGGCTTTTTCTTTCCGTGCTCCAGGAATCCAGGGTGATCTTTACTTTGCAGCTGGTGTTTGGTCTGATCATTGGTGTCATGGGCAGTGTATAAAGGGTAGGGCAGGATTCATACTGGTGGGTTGGGTAGAGGACAAAGCCACTACAGTTATCATCAATCAGTGTGCACAACAGTAGGATCATGTGCAGGTTGGGTGGGCAGGAATGGGAAATCTGAAATCTCATGGCCACCCACAGGCCAGGTGCAGCCTTTCACAGTCACATCCCCCTCCCTGGTCAGATCCACTGTTGCATGTCGCCTCCTCCGATTGGGCAAAGCAAATCGAAATCAGCAGCTGGTTGGTGATGGTTGGCCTGGACTTGTTTTGTTTTGTTTAGTTACTTTGCTAAAACATAAGTCCTATAACGTTCAAAATGTTATCTCGCAATTTTTATCAAACTATGCAATTAGTTTTTATATTTAAATATAATTAAAATTAGATTATGATTTTTTTTTGGACTGAGATCCAATAAACAAGCGTTAGTTACTTTGCTAAAACATAAGTCCTATAACGTAAATGTATGAAATATTAAATATATATTAAAAATAATAAATTATACAGATTATGACTACTTTACGAGATGAATCTATTAAGCCTAATTAGTTCATGATTTGGCAATAAAATGCTACCGTAACACATGTGCTAATGATTGATTAATTAGGCTTAATAAATTCGTCTCGCGGTTTAGCGATGGATTCTGTAATTTTTTTATTCTTATTAGTATCTGAACATCCCATGCGACACCCCATGTAACACCCGATGTGACACGCCAAAACTTTATACTTAGGTCTTGTTTAGATCTAGAGTGTAAAGTTTTGGGGTATCACATCGGATGTTACATATGAATGTTGCATGGTGTGTTCGGATATTAATAAAAAAAACAAATTACAGAATCTGTCAGTAAACCGCGAGACGAATTTATTAAGCATAATTAATCCATCATTAGCACATGTGTTACGGTAGTACTTTCGCCCAGTTCGCTTAACTTATAATCCGTATTTTTTCAGCGAGCGAACAATATTTTTCTCTCATAATAAATCAGCCAACAATATTTTCAGTCATGGCTTATCAGCCAAACGAACAGGGCGTTTATTGTCAAATCATGGACTAACTAGGCTTAAAAGATTCGTCTCATAAAATAGTCGTAATCTTTATAATTAATTATTTTTTAGTCTATATTTAATACTCCGTACACGTGTCTAAATATTAGATTGGATAGGGCCTAAAATTTTAGGTGGAAACAAGGGCTAAGTATCTAAACAGGGATTTTCTTTTGAGAAAACGGGAATAGCAAGTACCGATGCTAGTCCGTGTTGCTGCTATTGCCTTTTCCCTGCAGAAATCTGGCGCCTTGTTGCTCTCAAACTGTTGCTCCAACTGTTGCTCTCAAACATGAGTCGGCACATGGAAAAGGATAAACAAATTAAGTACCCCTTTGTTTATAATACTATATTCACTAGCTAAAATCACGGCTTTAGCGATAAAAAAGATGCGGTGATTAAGACATTGTGTCATAGGACTCGTGCTCAACACTTGAGCCAGCACTCTTCTCCTCTGCCAATAGAACACTTCGAGCATGTTCGTTTCGGCTTATTCGTTCGTCTCTGACTTATAATTCACGACTTGAACAGTATTTTTCTCTCACATCAAGCCAGCCAGCAGTACTTTTAGCCATAGCTTATAAGCCAATTCAGCCGAAACGAACAGGCGGTTCATTGTCTACGACAAAACATTTGGTGCAAACGACTCTTTCAACATACATTTAAAGTTTTGAAATAATTTTAAGTGATGCACATCCATAATATAATTATAGAGGTACATCGTCACATGTTTGCTCGGCAACTCAAAAGCGTTGCCTCCCACCGCTTGGTTGGCGACCACCGTCGCTGTCGGCCAGTTGGGCAGCGATGGTGGCAAATGGCTCGTTGCCTCCCCTCCACCCCCCACCACCAACACCACTGTTGACTCTCTTCACCCCCTCAGCTCCAAAACTGGTTGATTTTCTCCATTGTCGTTGGAGGTCATCGTTGGCCGTCGGAGGCTAGATCCAACCACACCTCTACTTGATCTACTTCTCCCTCTATCGAATTTGGTCCATATTGGTCGCTTGGGCATGCTCTTCGGTTGTTTGCGCCATCCTGGGCACTACCTAGCCCCACCCTTGGCGTTGTTTGCTTCGGTCGCCAGAACCATGGCCCCTCTCCCTGGTGCCGCCATCAGTTGACCATCCCTCGCCAGCTCATGTGCGGTTACTGGCGGTGGGTGGGTGTAAGCGCTCTTCGCCGGCCGTCGCAAGCCAAATCTGGCCATGCCTTCACCTGATATGTCGTCCACTTGTGGGATATGCTCCTTGGTTGCTGGGGCATGCTCTTGCCGCCCCTATGTGTGGTCGCGCTACTGTCTGTGGTCCCTACTACATCATTGTTGGCAAAGGAGTTCTTTGTTGTGCCTATGTGTGCCTCACGTTCTTCTTCTTTGCAATGGTCGTTTATCCTACGGTGGTGCTGGTTTGGGTCATTCTATCAGGTAGAGGCTTTGCTACCATCATTTGGCTATCGTGGCGGATGCTTTGTCGCTATCATTGTGCGTCTCTTCCCTGGCAGATGCTTTGTCGCCGTTGGTCTCTTCTCTGGCGAATACTTTGCTGCCACGGTCGTTGGACTCATCTTTGGCGAATGCTATTGCCACCAATGTTGCGTTGGCCTCTTCTCTAGTGGATGCTTTGCTACCAATGTCGCTTATTCTCACTATTTATTTCTAGTGAGTGTTTTGTTGCTACAATTGTTGGTGGGGTTCATCTCATCTTGTCTAGGGGGATGCTTTGCCATCGTGGATGTGTTTCTCTATAGGCAACTAGTGCATAGATGATATGTCTTTTTTTCTAATAAGTTTAGCTTGTTAGGGTTTTAGGGCTGAGGGTCCTATTCCCTAGCTTTTTTCTTGTTGATCTGATTTGTTATAGGTTGCTTACCACTAGCTCGGTGATTTGTAATTTGCACTACGAGAACTCTCTCGTAGCTGCATCGTGAAATTCTCTTCCTCTTAAGAAAATATGTGTTAAGGCATGATAAAAAATGGATTAAGTCCACTTTTAGTCCCTCAACTCTTGGGTTCGTCTAATTTTAACCCTCAACTATGAAACCGTCTAATGCTGGCACCCCAACTGTCAAAATCGTTCACTTTTAGCACCTGGGCGCAGGCAGGGCTGCTTTGTCCAACGTGAAGAGGGTTTGACCATGCCATCGCTGGTGTTGACTGCCACATAGGACGTCGACCTTCATCTCAATGACATGTGGGGCCCACATGTCAATCACTCATCCCCTCCCTCTCCTTCGTCTAGCTCCAACAGCATCCAGACAGGCGATCTCGGCCCCACTGTGGGCGGGGGAGGTCCACCCCATCGGTGGACGAGGTGGATAGAGCGTGCGCGGCGGCTTCGGAGGGGTCGTGGAGCCCTACGGTGCTGGTGGTAATAGCCTCGGCGGCCTGGCGTGGCCCGGCCACATGCAGGTCTGTGGCAGCTGCTCACCGATGTTCTGTAGAAGGTGAAAGCATCTAGGCCCCTAGTTGGGTTTTAGTGATTAATGATAATACGAGATTACTATGACTAACGTGTGTTTTGCAGAGGCAATTTTAGTTAGGTCATGGTAATAGAAATTGATTGGGCAATCATGGTTGTCATGCCCCTGTCGATGGAAATTGTTTCGGTTTTCAAATGATGGATGACAAGGTTAAGAACGGACTAGTTCTAAGTATCCTTTAGTGTTGGAGAGACATTTAGAGTAGTTTAGGACTTTGTTTTTCCTTTGGCCGTACTATTAAAGGGGGTATGGACTAGTAACTTGACCTAAGTGAGTCTAGTGGGTTAGGTGTGGTGCACATTTGTCAAACCTAGCACTAGGTAGCTTAGGAATAGCCCTAAGATCAATTGGAGTCAACTTCATTCACATAGGATTTCGAGTTGCAAGTGAATGGAGGGTCAAATGACTGATCGGACGCTAGTCTGATTGTGATCGAATGCTGGAGGGTAAGTCCGATCGATTCATTTGATCAACTGCAATCGTCTGGTACTGACCGGACGCTGAGTGGAGGAGCACCGGACGCTGGGGTGCCTGCGTCCGGTCTACTCCAGAGAGGTTCTAGAGAGGCTTTTGCTTGACCGGACGCGTTCGGTGGGTACTGACCGGACGCTAGGGTGCCTGCGTCTGGTTGACTCTAGTAAGGTTCCAGAAAGGGTTTTTCTTGACCAGACGCGTTCGGTTGGTGCTGACCGGATGCTGGTCAGAGTTCGATCAGAATTTAATGGCTTTTTCGACACAATGGCGGGCACAACTGATCGGAGCATTCGATCACCCTGACCGGAGCATCCGGTCAGCCCATAGAGTGATGACTCAGCCTCCAAATATTATGTTTTGAATGAGGGGGTATAAATACTTACTCCACTCATCCAAGGAAGGTCTCTTGCCCATTTATTCAGCTGAGAAACACCTTTGGAGTGCAAGGGAGAGCAAGAGCCTAATGAGGTGATTGAGATTTGATAATCCAAGATTAAGGACCTCATTAGTGCATAGGGAGTAGCAAGTGTGCATCCACCCTTCTCATTAGGCTTGTCTATGTCAAGTGAGAGTTTGTGATTGTTACTCTTGGTGATCGCCATAACCTAGACGGCTCGGTGGTGATTGAGAGCTTGGTGATCATTCGACGGAGCTTGTGGATGACTCAAGTCATGTTGTGAGCGGTTGTGGGTGATTCATCGCAATAGAGTGTCAAAGAATCAGCACATAGAGAGCATTTCATCCTTGCGCGGATCAAGGGGGAGCTACACCCTTACGCGGGTGAAAGCTCTAGTTTGGTTTTGGTGAATTGATGAAACCCTTAGTGCTAACCTAGTTTATCAAAGTGATCATGAGATAGGTAGTACATTCCAAGTGGTGAAACAAATGAAGACCATGACATGATGATGATGGCGATGCCATGGTGATGATCAAGTGCTTAGACTTGAAAAGAAGAAAGAGAAAAACAAAAGACTCAAGGCAAAGGTATAAATGGTAGG